GTGAGGATTGCGGAGGTTAATGTGTATAATTCAGGTGACCAGTGCCGGACACAGCAGGCGCTGCAGGACCATCAGCAGTGGCCATGACTGCTGTTGAAATGCCGACCTCTTTTACCTTCCCAGACAGCTCTCCCCTGACTCTCTCCCTACTTCTGGACCCTTTCCAACTTCCCTGGTGACTTCCTCCTCCTGTTACCCCTTAAATGCTGGAATTCCAAGCACTCCAGCCTCGCTGCATGCCCATGACTCCAATAGCTCCCTCTAAATCACACCCCTGCTGAGCTCTGAACTCCACTGAAAGCTGCAGGGCGGGGGAGGAGTCCAAAATCACAGTAAAGGCTACAGGGCCAAAGCTGGCTCACTACCCTTCCAAGCTCAGCTCCTTCCTTCATTCACCCAGCACTCCCTGGCGCCAGGCAGCGTCCTCCCCGCTGCACGGCAGGAAAACACCTGCCTCGTTTCCATGCACTGTTACCACCACTGCCCTGGGTCAGCCTTCACAGACTCTTGCTTCTTTAAATTCAATTTCTTTTTAGTTACAGCAAAAAGTATGAATAAGAAGAAAATAAAAATTGCCCCTAATTCTAGTTCTAGAGATAATCTGGAAATGTATTTCCTTCCTTTCTTTGCATATACTTTTCACATAATTGAGAACATATTATACATGCAATTTTGAAAGCCACTCATTTATCATAAGCATTTTCCTGTTTTATTAAAAATTCTTCAGAATGTAACTCTTAATGGCTAATAATATTACATTATATGAAGATGCCATAATTTTCTCTTACCTTTGAATACTGAGGCTCAGGCTTTTCTTAAATTGTAAATGATGACACTGAAGGACAAACATTAACTCTGAGTGACAGGACTTGGGGTTTCATTTTCTCTTGGTATTGTAGCCATATCTATCTAGCTTTCTACTATGAGCTTATATTGCTATAACTGGGGGAGGGGAGGAAGGAAAGTCCACTATTTAAGAAATAAAAATGCAAAACAGCGTTGTTATATTAAGTATGATTACTGATTAAAGTATGTTGTTTCCTTAGAATAAATTTCTTTCACAAATAAGTGTTAAGTGTTTTTGATATACACTGTCGGAGTTCTAGAAAATGTCTACCACTTTATACTTTCTCCAGTATAACAGTGCGCATCTCCATCAACTTGGTTAGACTTGGGGTAAATTTTAAAGTCTTTGCTAATTTGGTAGGCAAAAAATTATAATCTTGCAGTTATTTGAATTTGCATTTTTAAATCACCAATGACGAGTTAGCAATTCTGGAACCACTTAATGTGTATTTTAGGGTTGAGCATATACGTAAATATACTATGGATAATAGAAGCTGGGTTTCCCACTATCTGAGAAGATCATACAAATATGGACACATGGAAGGATAAAATAAAACCCTGCGGTGGTGGTGTTAGTCTGGGATGCAGCGTTATAATACAGTATGAACTTATGATAGGTGTGTATGCATGTGTGTATATGTACATGTGGAAGTACACACGTGTGCAGGTGCACACACACCCTCATTCTTCCCTAGTTCTGTCCCCTAAGAAGGCCTAGAAGCAGTGACTTGCCCACAGCAATAAGCACATTTAAATGCCCAGATCTCGCTGCGATGCACTGAGGACACAGCATCACGTTTGTGGCATTCCTGCCAAAAAATGTATAATTTGAATCTAATTATGGAAATATCAAACAAGCCCAAATTAGGGAACATTGTAAAAAATAAGTCAAGGTAACAACATCAAGGTAAAAAAAACACACAAAAAAACCCCACCACAACAAAATCCATCCAAAAATGGCTGACTTGCTATTCCAGACTATTAAAGAGACTTAATAATTGATAACTAAATTCAACATGTGATCCTAGGTGGGGAAACCTTTTCTTTCCTTCAAAGGGCATCCATAAAAAATGGCAAATTTGAAATTCAAATAAGATTAGATAATAGTGCTGAATCAACATTAATTCCTTGATTTTGATAATTTATGGTTATACATGATGGTATCTCTGTTTTTAGAAAAACACTAAAATATTTAGGGCTAACGATCCAACAGGTCTGCAATTTACTCTCAAATAATTCAGAAAAAGAATTGTGTATTTGTGTGTATACCTATTTGTTAAATGATATGGGGGATAGGGAAGGAGAGGGAGGGCAATTGAGAATAATAAAGCAGAAAGCAGATGTGATAAAATGTTAACATCTGAGAAATCTGGCTGGAGAGTATATGGGAATTCTTGGTACTATTTTTGTAACTTTTCTCTAAGTCTGAACTTATTTCAAAATTAAAGGAAAAACAGTGAGCTGGAGAGGGCATTGCTGTGCAGCTCTGGCAGGGAACACCCTGGCAGCCCAACACCCAGCAGCACCTGGGGGAAAGCGCAGCTACTTACCTTGGGAGGCTCCAAAACAGGAACCGCAAGTTTGGTGGGAAGGAGGCTTCTTGGCGGGGATGAAGACTGGGGCGTGCGTATGTGTGTATGCATGCCTGTGTGTGCGTGAAGACAGACATGGGAGGAGTTAAAACTTTTCTGACTGACAAAGAGAGGGACTCTCAGAATCCAGGAGAAAGGTGCAGTATCAGTGTCAGCCCACGAGAGTCAAGCCTTCCTCTACCCACTTAAGTTCTGGGCAAAGAGTCCAGAAACCCATGAAATGGTTTGAGCAGGCTGGGAGTTGGTGCCCTTTAGTCACTCTGGCCAAGTTCTGCAAAATGACCTCCTGCAGATCCCTGCCCTGACAAATCCCAGTGTGCAAGGGGGCAAGCAGTTTCAGCTTCCTGAACTAGAAGTTGCTATAAACAAAATAAAGATTTTTCCTGCCTTACAACTTTTACTGAATTACTGAAAACACATCCCCTGACCAAAGACCCTCAGGCTCATGTACAAAATAGAAATAAAATAAATATAACCATTAAAAGGTCCCTTAACAGCAGATTTTAGAAAACCCGTAATCCTGGTTAATCTGTTTTGCCCTGAGTTCTGAACTGTGAGGTTGACAAGGGTCATGAGAGGTCATGGGGTTTGACTTCTCCTTCTGCAAAAGGCTGGATCTAAATTGTTCCAGAAAGATATTTATCTACTATTTTAAGTAACTCCGCAGAAGGAGATGCCATCAATTTTTTCAGCAGCCTACTCTTATCTTCTTTAAAACCTTAGTAGCCAAGGAATTTTTTTGTTTTAAATGAAATTTCTATTGGCTTTTACACCACTTCCAATTTTCTCTGAATGTCATACAATTCTCCCCCTGATCTCCTCTTCTCTGAAGGAATAACACCAGTCCTCCTTCAACATCATTCAAGTCATTCACCACACTCCTTAACCCACGAGGGTACAGGACAGAGAAAATGTAAAAGTACACCGTCGGCACCGCACTGCTTGCACACAGCCTGACGGATGGCATCCATCGGGGCGGCCCTGAACCCAGAAAGGTTCTCCTGTGCTTCACAGTTCCTTTACAAACCCAGGGCAGGCTCCAACACGGCTGTCACGAAACTGGCTGAGAGAGACCTAGCAGTGGAACGGAAAGCCTTTGCCCCTGGGCTGTTCCCTTAGGGAGAAGGCCTCAATACCAGACCATGCTGTACAAATTAGATGCTACTGTATCTGGAAATGTGCATTTAACCTGGTGAGTCCCAGTCCCTTGTTAACTTCAAGCAGGAAGTTAGTGTGGGCAGTGACCATTATCCCTTGGAACTTCAATTTGAATCGACAAAAACAATGCGGACTGTTGAGTACCCTGTCCTACTGAGTACAAAGAAGGCGCTCGGAGGGGTCTGCAATAAATCGGAAGGATGACACACCAGTCCTTAGGCGAAAGGGTGAACTGAGTCTAAGTGCCACACTGCAGAGGTACGGGGCCGGGAAGGGAAAGCCATGACACTCCAGGGGGGGTGGACAAGAAGAGGCTCTTGAGCTGGAAGCGACTGGGGTAATGAGCAGTAACTAGAAATGTTATCCAAAACTGAAGAGGTAAGCAATAAAAAATACTTCAAAAAGTATCTTTCAATCACACCAATCAGTTCAAAACTGCTACCGTTACCTTACACTCAGAATTTAGTATTTAATTCTAATAACAGAGATGTAGACTCAACCTGTTTCTTCATGGTTTTCCGTGAGCACATTTATTTACACTGGTTTTTGCATTTGATGTAAAAAGACACACAATTTCCTGAAATTTTCTTCTTTCAGTTCAAAATCAAATGAAGTACAGTCTGGTAAAGCAGCAGCACACAGTTCCTAGTGACAGGTTTTCACACTGTCAGAAATCGTGTTATCTGGATATTTTGAATCAATTCCCCAAGTGCCGCCTTCACGCTCATTTACACACCCAATGTAACAGAGGAGAAAAGCACTACCATTTTCTTACACGGCCTGTGCACACTTTTATATATACTACTGCAGTTTTAACTGAGGAGACTCAGCAGATACGAATGTGTATGAAAAGTATTTCTTGGGCAACCTCTAGATACGAACATTGTAATAATTTCCATAATAGAAAAGAGAAGTGAACAAAACAGGACAGTTATTTCTACTAGAGAGGCTCAAAAAACAGGCTACCTCAAGAATTGTTTTTCAGGAGAGAAATAAATATTCCTTCCCTGCTCTGTACTGTACAAGATTATAGGCAAAATTTCAGAAAGCTGAAAATCCTTTTAAATAACACTTTCTTCAGCTTTAATAGCAAATAATTGCCTCTTTTGGTGCTAATGAGCATGAACACCATGGGACGGAATGCAGTTCTGCCGGTTCACTCAGGGTAATGGCTCTGGGAGCCGGTGGCACTGCTGAGATCTAGTCTCCATTTCCTGGAGCACAATAAGTGAGCAGCAGTAAACTTTTCACTTGAGGAAGATTTTCTAACCTATGTAAATATAAATAGGAAACCCAGTATCTATTGATAAACACAACAAAGGTGAAACAAAGTTTTATGTTACTCTTTCCTTTAACAGCCACAGGCTCGTTGGATCATGGAAGTAAAGAAAGCACTTCACTTACTGAAATCAATGAGAAACCGTCCAAATCCTTGCCTTTGGTGCTGGGGCATGATCATTATGCAGGAGACATTATACTTCTGCTGGCACAGCTTTTCCTGCGGAGGGAGAAACAGATCAAGTACGTCAGAGCTCTGCTCAGGGGCAAGTCCCTGCACCTGCCGCGTCCCTGCACAACAGTCCACGAAGGCGAGCCAAAGTGTTGGGGAGGGTCAAGCAGAATCACCCCACTGCTGAACAATCAAGCCGTCAGCTACCGACAAACCATCGACTCCAGGCCTGCCTCTCAATTAGGTCTTTATTCTCGGAAGCCAGTGGCATAAAATACAAATAAAGAATCCAAGAAATATGAGCCAAATGAAACAACACAGACAGTAAGGGAGAAATGCTTTCCTTGCTTAAAACAACTTGGGAGAAGGGGGAAAAATAATTCAGTCACTACCCAGCACAGTGAGGACTTTGCCGGCCACCTTGCTAGATATGTCTTCTGCCTTGGAGCAAATGCCCCAGTGAAGCTACAATACTATGTGTGTGGGTAGATTTGCACAAATACATCTCTCCTTTGAATAAAAAGTCGAAGTAAAAAGCTAGAGAAATAATAAATCTGCACTTCAAACCAGGAACACAAAACAAAAGAGACAACAGCAACAAGAAACCCCAAAGCCTCCAAGCAAAAGCGAGGTCCAGATATTACCAACAGCCTGAAACCAAGAGGAATACTGGGAAGACGGTGTGCTTATAGCTAAGGAAGAATTTGCAGTCTTCATGGAATGTGGCATCGCAGCAGCAATATTTTATGCAGAGAACACAGAAGCTGCCAAAAGCTACACAGAGAAGATCTGGAAAAGGCTTTTGAGGTTGTGAATGCTCTGGCCAAATATAAACCACAAATAAAATCGACCACAAATGGCACTAACCACATCAAAGAATTACTTTGGGACACCCAGATCTTTAATGAACCTATTTGAAAGATCACAGGAAATGGCTGTGGAAAAAACCCTACAGGGCAGAATTAAAGATTTCTTTGTGAAAAAGATGTGCTTCAACTTTTGCACATTTGTAGCTGTCTGTGTGTCTAATAAATGGGGAGGAAGAAATAGTATGTGTCAGTTTTCCTAAGAAGCAGCACTGTCCATCACTGAATGTAACAACAATGGCAAAGGTTCAAATAATTAGTCTGTTTCACAAAGTTAGGCAACTGGGTCCTCTTATCTAAAAAGGGATGTGCCCTGGGTTAAAAGGATCCATCCCTGATGCCATTCTTCTCTTGATGCTGAAGTCCCTTCCTGTTCCTAGGAGACTTCTTGAAATCCAACTCAAGAATGATCCCCCTACCTCAACACACGCTATTACAGCTAAATCCTAATCTTTGGATAAAATAACGCCTTCCTTCCTTCCTTCCTTCCTTCCTTCCTTCCTTCCTTCCTTCCTTCCTTCCTTCCTTCCT